ACTCCAATTGCTCTTTTCATGAAGTTTCTGAGTGATATTTTATTGCAACTTTATAACATAATGCATGTACATAGGGAATTGATGAGATAGCTTCTCTTTTCAATTATTCTTTTTAATAAAAACTGAAAATAAATAAATAACGCTTCTTTCAGCAATATAATTGGTAAATAAGCGCAAAAATTATCCAGCAAGCATGAATATTTCAGCATTTCAAAAGTAGACGAAAACCTCATGGTATAATACATGTAGAATCAAGTGCACTTAAGGAAACGTTTGATATTAAGCGGTAAGAAAAGTGTATCTAGTGTAAGCCAAGTGTATAAGTCTTCACTGTGAATTGAATATGACTTCACAATGCTCTTCCAGTTTGAAAAAAGACAAAAGAGTTGTATTTACAAAACTTCAAATTGTATGTTCACAAAAACTATTTACAGACCTTTCGTTCCATATTTTCGATATCGTTATCTTACTAAGTGTACATTTCGTGCAGACGTTCAATGCTGCTCTTTTACCAACTGCATTGATAAAAAATTATGTAGGCCATTTCTTGGGGCTGAGCTGTGTCTAAGGCCTGCGTCAAACGGGGTTCTTCTGCCGTGTCGAACTCATATACTAAAATTGTCCATTAACTGCGGCGGAAGCACGTTCGACGAAGACCTAAAAGTCGACTAAACTCTTGATCAGAAGAAAGAAAAAACTGAACTCAGCTCTAGACTTCGAATATCAAGGACAATAATGGTGAAAGTCACGTTAACAACTCTATTGCCATAGTTATCGCAATACTGTTACTCTGTTGTGACTCCATTTTTTTACATTACGAAACAAAGTCGAGCCTTCACGGACGTTGTTTAAATTCCTCTCAAGTTCATGTTGCCTTGACTTTCTTGACTCCTGGAGGGAAGTATGCCGTACACGTTCATGGTGTATCCAAATTTTGAGTTGGGGGAGGGGGGCTGGGTGTCCCCTTCAACTAAAGTATCCGTCTGTTCTTTCCCAGGGAATGGTAAAAAGCGTGGGCGGAGATCCCCCGGGGGATGGGAGATATACTCCCCACTTCCATCCCACCTTTTGACCGGGGGGGTGGGTTACCAATATAACCCCACACATCCACACACAGATAGACACGGATACACACACACGCTTTTCGAGTCACTGACTACACGTATGCACACACTTAGCCGGCACCACCGACTCTGCGCTTGCCGGCGTGACGATCTTGCCTGGGATGGAGGTTGTGCTGAGCTTTCAGAAATCCCCCCATACGTGACAAGAAATCTCTGCCCGTGCTAAAAAGTGCCTATTCGCTTTGAACACAATTTGTGACAGTGATATGCTTTGGTGCTATCTGAGCTGGATGTTTACATTGTATCCAATCCGTTGGATACAAAACATGAAGACTGATTCATCAACGTGAAAGATTTGTGATATAAACAGAGGGTCGTCTTTTTTTTAAACAAGCAAAACTGCCTGTCCCAGTGTCCCAATTCATTTTTACCTATCCTCAGGGTTGGTGACGCGGAAAGATGGGGACGTGATTACGGTTATCCCACTGTTTTGTCATCCAGTAAAGACTCAGCTCCTCCAGCTCCCAATGGATGGTGTCTGTACTGTGTCTGACATGCTTTGCGATATGTCGTCCCCAGGTGGAAAGTTCCCCCTCCCCGGCTGGATACGCCACTAGTCACATGTATCGAGGGCGAAATATTAATTTTGTCGATCACAACGCCGTGCTCGGAATCACACGGCAAATAAAAGAATAAACCTCAAACTTTTAATATACATTATAATCATAAACAGAAGAAAAAGATGAAAACAATTAATGTAGGGCTTCGTAAAATAAGAAACAATTTAAGAAAAAGTCTGCAATATTATTGATGAGAAGTACAAACTTGTTGATAATGGTCTGCAACAAAATCAAAATACATTGGAATAGACAGATTCAGAATTATGCTGAGAATGGCGTCTGTACACACAGAATATATATTTCACACGTAGTGCATTGATACTGCAATTCCCAACTGCTTTCAATGGAAATAAAGCCTTCTGAAAACACATCAGACAGCAGGCGACAACCCTGCCTAAAACAGCATCTGCTTGGCACTTGGCATTGCAAAAATATAGAATATTTCATTTTGTTTTCTTACTGTAGTCAAACGTATGTACAGCAACCAGGCAGCTTTTGGAGATAGGGGGACGAAATGGAGCTTTGGTTCTTTCTCCAATCCCCCCCCCAAAAAAACATGCTAACAAACTGATTTACAAACATCATGCAATCATTAAGAATCAATTTCCTTTTTTTTTGCATAAATCTCTAGACGGTTTCCCACATTGTCAACCCTGTTCTGTAAATAAATTCAGTCTCGAATCTGTTGGGAAGTATGTAGTGATTCTCGTTAGGAAGGGAAACTTCTGTAATTTTGGATAAATTACTGCTTGGCTCAAATGCCTCTGAGAGATATTTTACTCTCCTAGTCTAATAATAACCAGCAAATATAAATGCAGCAGGGAGCCCAGGGCTTCCCCTGCCTAGTCAAATGTGAGGTGACCCAAAACCAATAATGACACATCACTAAAACACAAATTCATCAAATACAGTCGAAACCTCATCAGTGAGAGCATTGTTAATACAATTTTCTGCCTTTAACGAGGACATTTTTGGGTCCAAATCCCTTTTGTGTTTCATTATTTTCATTCATGATAATACAAGGTTTCTGTTAAAACAAGGTCTTCTGCTAACTCCGAAGGACCTCTTATTAACAAGGTTCGGCTGAAACACACAAAACAGAATATTTCCCCTTTCAGATTGTTCGGATGACCAAGGAAAACCACACAGTGCAGGACTGGTTGACTTAATAGAGGGAATGGATCAAGAGTCGTACTTTGGGAGAAGGTAAATATGCCTTTCTTCATCGGACCCATTTGAGCTCAGGTTGCTACTATCAATAGTGCTCATGTTCACTGCATGCAGTTCGATTAATTTTGGCCACCTCATCAGCACCCCAGGGGACCCCTTGTAGAACCAGTGGTGGATGTCAATCAGTTGGGGGTGGGGGAGGGGGTAATGGACACATGCCCCCACCCAACCCCCTGTGCGGCAATGAATTTGAATGACTCCAGTATGATACGTCATGACTAATATGGCTTCGCATGGCGTACTGACATTTGACCCTCCAAGTTTTTATCATCCCTTCTGAAAATCATCGATCTGCCCCTGTTCATAATTCTCAAATGACTCTTTTTACACTAAGCATATAAGCTTGCTCAGTGGAATAGTCTACTTTTTATGGGGCTTGGGCACTATAAATGTGTTCCCTTCATAAAGGGTTTGGTACCTGTATGTGAGAATCAACAAGCACATACAACCAGAAGAGACTTCTTAGACATTGGACTCGGCCTCCTTGAATAGTTTCTTGACTTCATCCGGTGGTGTGACCTGGCTTTCTTCAGGCAGTATGGGAAAGCCTGCCTCCTTGCGGTGATACTCCAGGGCTGGTCCCCATTCGCTGGTGGGGCGCAACGACTCCCTCAGGCGCTACAAGGGCAAAATAATAATATGACGTTGTTTAATATATTGTGCATCACGGTACCTCAAGGACTCTTAATGTGCTTTACACCATAAATATCCCTACAGGCCCAGAAAGAATCTTAAAGACCAACTCAACTCCCTAGACGAAAGCATACAATTGTTGCAATGATTTCAGGTGCCACTGGGTCAATCAACCTCAACAACCATCCCATGATTTATACTCCTGTGTGTAGAGAAGCAGGTGAAGGTAAAATGACTTGCCTAAGGACACCATGTATGGCCGATCTAGTGTCTGGAATTATAAACCCTTACCACTAGCCAGGCCACACACCCCTAGTCATGTGGCTGTCAGCTTTATTCCCCCCCACCATGCAAAAAGAGTGCTTCATGTAAGACTTTCCTGGACACCAATCTGGCCGGATATCTGAATGCTCCTGGCTTGAATCAACCATGCCAGTTGGTACAGTGACTGTTTGACATGAAGATGAATTCTTCACGTGACAGTATTACCTCCATGAATGTTCCTTCTTGCTTCAGCAGGTAGTAGATTGGGTACACGAAGACGGGTACCAGCGAGGCCAAGGTCATCAACCAACCCAGACATTCGGCCCAAACAGGGTATGTGTACGTGTTGTACTTCATGCGTGAATAGCCGACAAACGTAAAAACTATGATGAACTATGTACAGGAAAGTTAGAAAAACGGGGAAGATTAAGTAATTAGGCACGATATCCTACTGCAATAAAAAAAAAAATCAGACAGCTTTTCCCTCTCCCTAAAGAGATATGATTGGAGCTGGGTTCATTTGGTGAATGTGGCATTCCAGAAGTTTCACGTTTTGAAATCACCTTCAGATAAATGTCAGAAAACATGTTTATTTTCAAAGGGCAGTGGAAAACAATCAGGTCCAACTTCGTGCGTTCACAGCTAACCTCAAGATTAGCAGAATTCCCAATCATAATTGCAACGGGAGAGAATGCCAAAGGAATGAACACATGTGGATCCCCATCCTCCAAAAAAAGTTAGCGAACTGATTAATAACATCCATGGTATGTAACTTGTAAAAAATGCAGACAGCATTCTGGCTAGTCCATCTTTGCATGTGAGAAAAGAACAGATTGATGAAATATGGAGATTTTATACTTTGGATGCAATGCGTTAAGCCCAAACCTACATACTTATTACATGCATATCATATGACCTGAAATTATGGCTTTCAACTATGGCTACGGCTCAATTAATTACTTTAATTAGGCACCTAAAGGCTGTTGCAAAGTGGCAAATTGAAAGTGGTTGACTATCCTTCTATAACACTGGTGTTAATATATTTCACAGCCAAAGGCATCTTCCTGCATGAAGACCATTGCCACAGCAGCTTTCAACTTTTATGTTTTCTTCTTACCATCAAGAAAGCTGGTGACAAGAGCTTCCAACATGCCTTCCAATAAATCCCAGGACGAAAACCCAACATGACATTCAGATCATCCAGAAAACGGTCCGCACCTGAACAAAGTAAAAGAGCACCTGTATTGTTAAGATAACTACAGTGTGCAACATACTTGAAGATTTACACACAAATTTCAGAACTACATTTTTGCACTATTTGATTGTCAGGAAACTCTCATAAAATCATGAATAGCTGCTTGAATGTAAAAAGGACACAGGATGGGGTGTTGTTTTGTCACCTAGCTATGATGTTCTCTTGTGGCTAATGTCCGAAAAAAAGGCCCATGATCTTTCCAAGGGGTGCCAGGTACACAAATGCGCTAGTGCTTCCTGGTACAGCCCATCATCAAATCAGTGTGGGGTTAATTTTGCACTGAGCTGCTGGTCAACACAACTTAGATTAGGTTTCCGACTGGAGCCAAGACAACAGGTACCCAATAGTGTAGTTAACAAGGGTGAAATTTCAGGAGGGGCACCTTGGGGTGCCCACATATTTTCAAGACGGGAATGAAAGCACATTAACTGTGGCTCAAACCTGCCTCAGTACATTTCATAAGTTTGATTGAGGGGAGATGGGTGCACAGACCTCTGTGGGGAGGGGGAGAACCATGCCCCTTACTTTGCTCCCACGCATTTCTTTTATGATCAAGATGAGAATGCTTCCTGCCAGATTTCTAAAGGCTTCTGAAAAACAAAAAACTAATTGTATTGAAGGGCCGTCTTCCCCTCATAATGAAACATCTTCCATTGTCATTTTTCTTTCTTTGGTAGATATGCTTACCATAGATGTAAGCAATCACGATGCATTCCAGCATTGCAATTATCAAGACAGACAGACCAGCTGAGAATGAGTTCATGATTGTAAGCAGATAGATGCCTCCCTGTGTCGCAAGAAAACAAGCAAGACATGAATACATGTTAAAATCTAAAAAAGAAGGAATACAATACATCATGCCACATGTCAGCCAGGCTTGCAGTTGAGGACATTAATATCTTTCCCTAGTGTGTTTGCAGATGAATGGAAATTTGGAGAAAAAATCAACTTTGCATTAACATCTACATCTTCGGACAAAAACGGAACTGCTCAGCAAATACACGTATTAAGCAAAATAGGTGAAAGAGTCATTTTGAATTACATATACTAGCATTTATGGCTGGAAATTTCGTCAACTTCTTCTACTGTTTTAGTGCAGAAAATTTTAATCTGTGCTAAGCAATCTCCTCTGCTTAGCAGCTCCAACAGGGTTCCCACTGAAACCTCAAAACTAAATTCCAGGACTTTTCCATAACTTTCTGGGATTAAAAGTTAATGAATTCTTGAAATTTAATGCCACTTTGCAGAGAAAATTTGTTTGAGCTAAAACTGCCCCAGCCGCAATACTAACACATCTCTTTCTGGTTCTTTATCCTGGTTGGTTGAAATACGGTCAAGTATGGTTCACTAATATGGGCGAGTACATGAAATTGGCTTCAGCATAACTCCTAACATGCCTAACGTGCCTTGACGTAGGGCGCGCATCAATTCCAGAGGGACCGTGAGTGACCAGAAGAGGGTCCTATTTCCCAAGGCCTCTTCTCAGTGGTCACTCACAGGTCCGGAAGGCCTCTGGAAACAGGACCCTCTTCTGGTAACTTACAGTCCCTCAGGGACATAGACATGCACTAGTGACCTCTTTGCCAGTCCATTTGTGTATACTATTGACTGACAAAAATATAACCAGTAAATTTATCTTAATCCCTTATCACATCAAAAACAACCACTGCATGATCTTAAGTTCCATGACATTTCTCGCGACTTTTTCCTCTAGCAACAAGATTCAAGAGCAAACTTGTTTCCAGGATTTTTCAAGAACCTCGATGTCCATGGGAGAAGAAACTGTCTTCAGAAGCAGAGCTACAAAAAAAGGTTCGTGAGACAGCTTCCAAAACTTCCTTTTGAAGAGAAAATGAAATGGCCCACATTTGAAGCAACAAAAGTGACAGTTAGTTTTGCCCAGTGCTCCATGACTTACAATGGGTTAAGGGTTAACTGCAAGACCTGATTTTTCACTGTACTCACATTTGTCACCATAGACAGTCCAAGGATGTACATCAGCACAGCCATTAACAAAGTGACCAGCCATTTTCTCTTCCGGAAAACTGGATTGAATTTCTCCAGCTCATCCACCATTCCTGTGATGACGGTCTCAAACATGCAGAACTGAATTTTGAAGAGATATGCTAATGAGTATTTAGCAGTATTGAAAATGACCAAATGAACATTTCTATAAAATCCTATCCAGTGACCCTAAGCCAAGGTTTTGCCAATTTTCAGTTTCGTCTCTGTCAATGGCAAGCTTCACATGATTTCAAACCCCTTGACTTTGAAGTCATTAGCTCAAAATTAAGTCATACAGTACATTTCAATCAGAACATCAAAGTTCATGACATCAACCAAAAAATCAATTTTTTAGTGAGAATATTTATTATATGTGGCCTGTCACGACAAAATGAGGGTGAAGTCGCATCTCGCTCTTTCTTATTTTGAGGGTTCAAAGTCATATTGAGGTGGAGGTCAATTATGGGGGTTTTGTAATATTTGGTAAGAGGAACCGGTCTCCCATTTTCGCAAGATCATAGTATTAAAAATGTCATTTTCTCAGCAATTCTGATGATAGCATTATTTGTGTCTGTTTTGTTTCTGACCAGAAATGTTGAAATAATGTTGGGAACAACAAAGACGGGAAGCTTCCAGAATAATGTCCCCTTGTACATTTACCCTTAGTTTTCCATGTACATACTGCTGGAAAACTCTTCTTCTCCTGAATTCCAATATACCAACTCAGCTCATTTTGTGGCGACAGGTCACATATACTTGCAAAGGGTTCTGATTTCAAAGACAAAACCTGAGACAAATGAAGCTGTTGGTATAAGGAAATGCCCTCTGTAGTTTGCATTTTTTGTTTACTGTGAAAGTTTCAATATGTTAGAGAGGAAGTTTTTCTATCAGGCATCAATCTCCCTTACTACTAAGCACACTATAAACACATGCTTAATTATATGTATGTATCATAGGGTTGTAATTGAGTCGATCATAATTCTTGTCACAAGTCCAGTCACAAGTCCAGTCACAAGCCCAGTCACAAGCCCAGTCAAAAGCCCAGTCACAAGCCCAGTCACAAGCCCAGTCACAAGCCCAGTCACAAGCCCAGTCAAAAGCAATACAAGTAACAGGATGAACGATAGCACGGGAATGCTTTCGTCTAGTTCACTTGAAACATTATCCTAACTTACAACTGGGTGACTTGTGGAAGTTTGTTGGGACTTGTGATGGATTCAACAGCCTAAGACAAGGGCAGATCGGGGGGGGGGGAGTGCCAACAGAGGGCCAGCGCCCTCATAAAAAAACAGGGCCAAATGATTTTATTTAAATGAGAGAAAGGCAATTTCTTTTTGCTTGATTTGCCCAGCAATGTAGCCCCAATGCCCCCCAAAAGGCCATAAAAAGTTAATGAAAATTTTTAAAAATTTAGGGTCTCCCCAATATACAAGTTTTGCCCCCTCCAAACAAAGTTGTTCTGGAGACATCCTTGGCCCACAGAGTACTTAAAATAATTCACATTTTGGGTGTCTCCCTAATCTGTCTGTCACCAGTGAGTGATCTTTCGCACACAGAACAGCATTGATGTCTGCTAGTACTAACCTCACTCCCAAGTCCCAACATGAAGACCATGAGAAAGAACAGCAAAGCCCAGAGTGTAGATAACGGCATACGAGCTATGGCTTCGGGATAGGCAATAAATGCAAGACCTGGCCCTGTGGGAAAAGAACAGCCCTTTTGTTTACAATCAAAACTCAAAACATTTCTTGTGATGAAATTTTGATTGGATAAATTACATTCAAAACAGCCTTTCCCACCGAATTCTCCATGTTTTGACTTGTTTGGACAGAAATATGATTTAAGTACCTGTATTCAGTGAAACCACAGTTGTTGAATTTGTGGTTTAAATGTATTCCAAAACAAGAAACATTTTCATTGCCAAAAAGTCTTCCCTGTATAGAAGAAGAGCTGGTCCTTCTTCCCAACCCCCCCCCCGTTTTTAGAATAAGGGAAATTTTGACATTTTTTATTTACCCCTGTAAATATAAGTTGTTTAAAACAGCTCAGAACACACACAAAACACCAAAAAATGCACATGTTGGCAGAATTACAATTTTATCACCACTGCATTTCTTGTATGGCCAGCTTGCTGAGTTAGGTCTGTAGGTCCAAAACTGTCAACCACCCTGCTTCAAATTCTCTTGGTCAAGTGAAAATTGCTCGAAAAGCGCTACTCTGTTGTGATCATCATGCACCTACCTGACTCTACAACTTTATCCACAGCCATTCCCGCGTCGTGAGCCATGAAGCCGATGACAGAGAAGATGACAAACCCAGCAAAGATACTGGTGCCGCAGTTGATGAAGGTTACCGCAATTGCATCTCTGGAGAATCATTCAACAGGAGACTAGCACATTGCACTTAAACAATCAAACAGATATGGTTGTAAAGGACATTCAGGTCAGGTCTCTCTCACATAGCATCACTTCCAACACACTACCACGTGCACCTGCAGTTGGGACATATGCAGCTCCATTTTCAAACATAACTAGATCAACACACATGCGTGAATAGAACGTTTTGGACAATGCACGAACGTGCACCTAGCATAGTCGAATAAGAAGTTGTAATTTTCCTATGAAAATGGTGCCCAAAGAGAGATTAGAAACTTTATTCCAATCATTTCTGAATCCCCTCCATGAAGGAAAGAATGAGTTCAAAGTAATTGTTTGAACAGAACGACACTTTCAATAGACCCGCTCATCACCCTTTTCACAATAATTACGCAGTATACAGTTAAACAAAACTTGGGTCACAATTCAACTGACGAGTAACAGGGAACTAGCATTGACAAAGGACTCAAAGAAAGACCTCCGTCATGGTTTATCTGATTTGCTTGGGCCTTGGCATATGACCAAATGGAATGTGATTGAATAATACCACAATGTGATGGTTTGGTATCAAATGCAGTTATGCAGGGAAGGAAGTTTAAATTTCTAGGGAAAACGTGAAGTAAAACAGTGCCTACTCTGCTTTAAAGAAACCAGCCCCAAATCCCACCGGGCTGTGGTTCTCAGGTATTGTGTTATGCCCTCTGACAGACATGATACGAGAAGTAGTTTGTACCCGATCATATCCCCTATTTCTCAGCATTTCTGCTCCCCCTTTTTCAGAATAATACATGAAGGAACATTGCGGGAGGCTCCTATTGATCCTTTTTGTATCTTTACTACTTGAAGATACAGGCAGACCAACAAGTCTAGAGTCCTACCCTCCCCTTCCCCCAACACACACACCCACACACACACCGGAGCCATCTCTGTTTTTGCTATTAAACAAAAAGGAAGAAAAAGCGATATTAGGATATTTGTCACGTCCCTTCCTTCAAAATGCATGTAAAAAGCCCCAGATTTAGCTTTACCCATCAGAAAGGCCATAAAAGGTTACCTGAGGAAATGTCAACGACTTTGGCCATTCCCAGCAAAAACAAAAGTTGGTTCTGCATGTGACTTGAATCTCACCTAAAGCAGTTGTTGTGGAATTTGTTGTAGCTGGCAAGAGTGTGAAGGCTTCCAAATGCTGTGCCAAGCGAGTAGAAAATCTGAACGGCGGCATCCTGCCATACCTGCAGCAAGTGTCCAAAAAATTACAGCAATAAATGTCCTCCGTAAGCACAGCTACAAAAACAACTAGGGCAAGAAGAACGCCCTTGAAACTTGCCAGCTTCACTTTTGTCCGTGGCAAGGATCATTCCATCTTCCGCGACATACCTTTGCCTGTTTGAGCTTCTCTATGTCGGGCTTGATGTAGTAAATGATACCATCGATGGCGCCCTCCAGTGTGATGCCACGGATAAGCAGGCACGTCAAGACAACATAGGGAAAGATTGAAGTCACGTATACAACCTTGAAATTGAATAACAATGGAAAGGAAGTGAAACAAAGAGTAGATGTCAGAACCCGGAGGTCCTATCTGAATAGGATGCAGCCTGCTGTGTTGACATGCCAGCTGGGACATCAATTAAGAAGTACAGGCTAGACGGGGTCATGTGCTTTTGTTATTGTTTTCATGGGCGCCGCAAATCGTACACTAGGGTTGGGGACTAGCTAGTCCAGCACACTTTTTAATCATTTTTTTAAACGGTGTCTGTTTAAATGCTCCAACGCGAAAGAAGGGCATGAGGTACTGAAAAAGTGCACATTTGAAAGCTCAAGAAAATGACAAAAGTGGATGGTTCAAAAGTACTTGCACCCCATGCACGCACATCTCGGGGCTGTGTATTGCAATATGAAAAACAAAACTGACTCATATAAAGGAGGCCACTTAAAGATCCATTGCACACCTTGCTTTATGTCTGTGCATTACATGGGGCAAGACCAACAATTTCCAACAGAATGTGTACAAAGCTTGTGCTCATCGTTACAAGAGGGCAGCATAGCTTGGCATGCAAGGACACCGAGAGGACATGTCCTTCAAATGTGCATCCTTCAAATACTCATGATCACTGATCACCATTCTCTCCAAGCACCGTGTCTCAACATGTAAGCCAAAATAATCTGCGTAATGCAAAATCTGTGATTTATGCCATCAATTAGTGCAGAATTGTCTTCTGGGGGAACTGAAATGTTGGGCACAAGTTGACCAAGGACTCTGAATTGGACCCTGTTCTTGACATCTGTTGGTAGCTCTAGATAAAGACTGAAACCATATACCATCTAAAGGTACATGTTCAAGAAATACCATGCGGCTTGCCGATTTAATGTCTGTTCCTCAAGGGAAAGCAACAAGTCTTTTTTTTGGACTCACTTTTCCAGATGTCTTGATGCCCTTCACTAGACTAAGAAAGACCAAGATCCAAGCCAGCAGTAGACATAGTGCAAGGTCCCACTTCACTGGCCCCATGATATGGATGCCATCTGATATGTCAAGGACATAGTTGCTGTCGACATAAAAAAAAAGGAAAACAGCATCAGGGATGCTTGCCAGGAAACCCTAGCTCAGTAGAATCTAACATTCTCCCTAGACTCTCTTTCTATGACATTTCTAGACTTTTCTACAGTTATTCATGTACATGAATGTTTAACTTTGGTTATTTACCCTCATTTTTCAATTTTGGGACATAAAACCCAGATACAGATTGTGTGACAATTGACAAAACCAGCACACCAAAGTACAGGCGATTAATTTCTGTAATAAATTGCAAATTATTGAATTTACCAACAACCTTCCTGCATTTTTCGGAATATGAACAACAGCTATTATCCCTGTCAAAGATTACTTTCCAAAGAAATCTCTTCTGAGGTGGCAGGTCACTGCGGCAACATTTCTTTTTGAGTAATACAACGGTCTAACCCAAAGACATCTATCTGGTTCGTAAGTGACTTCGTCACAAAGGCGGACGCGGGCAATTCGTAGGCTCCCACTGGACGATCGCAGAAGTTGCACGTTAACTTTGCACGTTTAAACTGAGTGACGTCACACTTACGAACCGAATTGAAAAGCATACAAATGCCATTTTCGTGTGAATCTTCACTGACATTGAGCAGTATTTGCTTATTTCTTTCAAAAGGAGCTTTTTGAGCAGGAAAATTTGTCACAAGCTTACAAGGCCTTGAACCAACCGTCACCACCTGTTTGCCCTGGGAAATCTCCTGAATAGCCAAATCGCCCAGCTTTCTTATAAATCCCAGGGGATTGCTGCTGCTGGTAAAGATATCGATTGGAAGGGTGCCCTGAAAAAGTTATAGGTAAGTTCGTGAAGTGTTCAAGACTTCCACTTCTGATAAGTGGGTCAGATCATGGTAAGATCAAGCCCTCCAAGTGGAAAATTAGCAGGTGAGGTGTGAATATTGTCTCAGCAAACTTTATCTGTTAATCATTCCTTTCTCCATGTTCCATACATTCACACTGCACTGGGAGAGTAAAACCCCGCTTAAAAAATCCTAGCAAACGGGACGTGCGTCATCATTTCACCTGTCAGCCACAGAGCATCGAAGAGACACTTACTTGAAGTATTCCTCACTGGGCCGTGCATAACCCGTGCCATTGTCAAAAGTCCCATTCCAGGTCCTATTGTCATCTTTGGAGAAGACGGTACAGTTCTCAGAGTTCCAGGGGTGACCACAGGATCGCCACGGGACATCGCTGGTGAAGGAGGCGAACAGGTAGAACAGTGTGTAGGCAATGATGATATTGTAGTACAATGTTACCAGCCCGCACAATATCAGCATGCCAAAGCCAAGCCCTTCGAGAATGATGGAAAAAGTCTCAATTTTAGAAGTATTTGAAGCCTGGTGTTCCTGTTGTATTCTTTTTTATATACACACTTAAGCTTGTCCCTTTGCTGTAACCAAATACAATCTTCAATAAATTTCAGAAAAATAAAGAACACATCAATAAGATATAAATGTAAATGAATTCATAATATAAAGAAACAGAAGACTGCACGAAATTGGGAAATTTTGAGAGAGACTAGATACGTGATTCAAGAAATAAAAAGCTGCCAATGAAAGACACCATAACACAAAAGAAACCAAGATCAACATAAACAGACTAAGGCTAGACATTCGATTATGAAAAAGGGGAAAACTGCTGGAACTGAATCTTCCAAACCTCCTGGCTATCAGAATAATGATACTTTGACCAAGGAATAACAGGATGAGATTTAATGAATAGGGCGATACCATGGCAACACTGACGCACAGAGGATGTGAAGAGAAGTCCTAACTGGTGCTACCGGTATCTTGAACAACTTTGAGGCTTCTCTTTTTTAAGTTACCGTTAAGCGTCTGTGCGTTGAGAAGTCCAAAGCCAGTTGAAGCAATATTTAAGCAATATCAAAGCAAGCTTAGCAAGGTAATCCAAGTATTTTTTGTCTTCTTGGTTTTTTGATTAAAAATGAGAGATACAATTTATAGAGAATAACCCAAATGCCCCAAGTTCAGACAAGTTGACTGCCAACTGCTACCATCTGATCATCTCTGTCATCTCGTATGTTTTTGTACTCAGGGGCGTCACCCCAAGAGACGAAATTTCTGAAAATGGTCCAAATGTCAATTAAGTTCGGGCACAGTTCTGCCCCGTTTTGACAATCACGCTCATATTATAGGTTGATGGACGATGGCAAACAGATGAAATGTGTCAAATGAAAATGAGCGGAAAGGCTTTCAAACGTGCTCTTCACAATAAGGCCTTCATTAACAAAAGAAAACAAAAAGAACGAAAACAAGAATGGTTGTTGAAATGCAAATAACTGTAAACATGTTATCATCGGGATAGTCTGACAAATATAGCTTGACAATAACCACCTTGTCTTCGAATAACACTGCTTTATCGAAGACGTATAAATGTGTTGTGTTTACGACAATCTCCATTCTACAAATGTAAGCAACAGTAGCTGACAAGCTACATTCATCTATTTCAAATACGTCCGTATAATCGTGAAGATTCCAGCGGCATTTTAGCTTGGGTCATGATTATATCCTGTAGAATATGTGCAATTTAGAATTACCAAAGAACCATGTTTAATAGAAAGGTCTGTCACATACTCTTTAATGACAAAAACATTTGAATATTTTTTGTTTTCAGTTATTGTAGTGACAGATGCATAGTGAAATAGCGAGAATTATTTAGTTTGTAATAATCTCTCTTTAGGTGAGTTTTTATATAATAGTTCTGAACCAGACAAAATAGCACAAACTTATCTTCTTGTGACTGACAGATTTAACTCTAGTGTCTATTATTGAAGATTTAAAGCTCCCACTGCTAGTAGAGTTTTCCTTTTATTCCATCTGTTTTTGTATTTCCTGGCAGTTTTGGTTTTGGTTTTGTTTTCTTTATTATTTCTTTCTTTACTCATTCCTTTATAATTCGTTTTTGGCAAATGACCACGTCCAAAGGGATCAAAAGGTTAGGCCCCAGAAATTCGGTTTGAGGGTTAAGTTCCTATAATATCATGTCAGTAGACTGGCAGGGAATTTGGTTATGAATGTGGAAAAATGACAGATATTAAATTTCTTACTTGGAATTTTATTGAATTTGCACTTGATGTTGTGACCTAATGTCGACAAAGTAGGGCCTACACAAGACAGGCCTCGAAACTTTGTGATTCAAAATAAACCCCCGAATTGGAACATAACATCACTGTTGATGGACGTGACAACTCCACAGCTTCATTTGAAGCATGAAGCTGGTTGATGAAGATTGTATCCCAATTTTGTGGCTGTCAGATAAACTCCACGCGTGCTTACATAATAGCTGCATGCATCATAATGGGCCAAAGCGAGTTAATTCGGATTGGTATATGTGGTTGTTTTTTATGGCGCTCAGCTACACGGGCTATTTGCGCCAATGACTATACGTTTATTTACGACCTTTATTAATCAGCATCAGATTACGGAAAGAGGAAGAAGATCCAGTAGGCCTACTAGGAGCAGAAGGAAACCGGAGTACCTGGAGAAAACCTGCGAGAGCGACTATGGACTGGAAACCAAATGCACTTAAAGCCTGGGCCAACCCAGGACTCGAACTGGGCATCGCTGGTGCCCTGCGAGGATATTTAAAAGCAATTTTAATATTCCAACTGCGCATGTCACGTCACAGTTCGGCGTTGTAGTGCGAAATTTGTTGATCCTCTTCAACTCCGGTCAGAATTTTGTGCGCCTGACCAACTGTAGATAAAAAGCCCCTCAGCCCCCATATGATGCAAGATATGGGGCGGAAAGAACTCCCCTCCTTTGTGTTGATCATTGTTTGATTGGAATCTCTGGAATTCTAAGGGGGATGTGTCAGGTAACAATAGTCTAGAGTGTGTATAGGGATTGGGCATGTGGGGGGGGTACCCATCGGGCCCATATTGTGCACGGTATCTCAGCCCCAGGTACAAATTTGCTTGAGGTAACTTAGAATTCGTTCCGCCTCATTAATCTGGCTTTACCGCACAATGGATTTTGTCACCCCCTGTGGCCAGTGCCTGACCACAGAGGGAGAACTTATCTGACCAGAATCGAATACAATTGAGCACATTAGAATAGTGATTCTTCCTTTGTACGTAGGCCTAGTGTTGTTTCGAGAGCTCTCTAACACCGGACGGCTTCTGAGCAAAGTGGGACTGGAAGCACATTCCCCCAACGGATGTTTAGGCGGAAACCAAGAACGGCAGAGGATTTGCCTTGGGCGTGATTTGGGGGTGGCCTTGAGATCCTTCCCAAATGCCAAAATGTGCGGAACTTCACCCTCGGTTAGCAACTGGTGTTAGTTTAATGCACATTTGCCCCACTAGAGTTAGAGGGGCACACTTTCGTTGGCTTCATTATGGCATTTTGATAGCTGCTTCATATTTTGTAAGAATATGAATTTTTATCTTTTGCTGGCCAGCCAAGGCAAATCTTTGACTGTGACGAACCAGAGAAAGGCAGGTCGATATTGTTAACAACGCAGGAGGATATTTTTGGAAGCGAATTTTGAAGCAAGCTCATTTGCAAACTTTGGATATTTTCAAAAGGATGAAACTGTCAGTCATTTTCCTTAGTTTGCAGCCGATGTGGTTTCCTTGTCAGCCTTCAGTCATCATTTGACAAGCCGTGTTTCAAGATTTGTTTTCAAATCCATGTTTGGCACAGTACAGTAGAATACCTCCATACGCCTGAACGAAAGAATAACAACTTTAATCTCGTCTTGAATATTTGAAAGACTGCCAAGTGACGCACGTGCTTTGATTTACAGTTTCCGTCACACGCAGGATCATGCATGTTTTTCCTCGTAAGCCAGAATGGAAGCATGTTGTGAGAAACTCGATCTGGTCTGACGTTAACTGAGGGGAGCCTGAATTACCTTTGAAAAGTGGGGAGATGGACCAAATACTGAGGCAGCCCTGGCTGGCAAACTGACCAAAACTCAGCTCCAGAAAAAACAGCGGCAGACCGGCCATAAAGATCATGAGCACGTAGGGAATCAAAAACGCACCTTTGGAAAAAACAAACAAGGAATAGTTATGGAAAAACAGCATAATATCGCGTGGGTTTTACCGTGCCTTTCCTTCTAGTCGAACCTTTTCCTGGTGCTATAATTAATCAAATAAAATTCACAATATCGTAATGGTAACAAATCTAAATAAATCTAAAACAAAAACCTGGTATGCAAAGTCAGTAGTTTTCTACCGAAATCTCTCGAACAATCAACAATTTCAGGCTTTTAGGGAACTAAAAAAAAGTTCTCTTACCGCCCCCGTTTTCGTAGCAAAGAAAAGGGAATCTCCAGATATTTCCAAGGCCCACAGCAAAGCTGACGCAAGACAGAAGGAAGTCCAGTTTCCCGGTCCAGTTGCCCCGGGTCTCGTTCTCATCTCCCTTTTCTGGACTCGGCTTAGTCTCGCTCTTCGGGTCGCCATCGTTCACTTGCATCATGTACTTACCCCCTTCTGGGGGTCCCGAGGTGGCAACTGTCCCGCTCTGGATCTCCGTCATTGTTCCTACACACACAGACAAATAATTTTGCTGCTTACAGCATAATACGGTGTATTCGTAATAGGTGATGAAAAAAATCCAAGAGGAGCCAGAAGGAAAAAAAATGAAATTTTAAACAAATGTATAGGTTCCCTTGTGTGTGTTTTCCTTGGACGAATACTACTTCCCCGTTAGTGGCTACGGTGTTACGTGACTACGAGACAGAAATCCCGTTGAGGACAATGTGACATTTTGACCTGGTAGCCGGCTTTCCGAGATGGACCGTGCGAGTGGCGGGGTATTTTGCAAAAACTATGCGAACAAGACGAAATGTTTGGCAATTCCGTTATTTGGCTAGCCATTTAAGANGGGGTATTTTGCAAAAACTATGCGAACAAGACGAAATGTTTGGTAATTCCGTCATTTGGCTAGCCATTTAAGACGTTTATCCGACCGCCGTACCTTGTAGGGATGCATTCGAGCGTTTTAATTACGACAGAAGGCAGTAGACATCATTTGCATTTGCTCCAATTTAAAAATTAAAATAACCGAATGAGGTTTTTTATTTACTTCGTGTATTATTCCCTGGACTTGTTTTATTTTTTAGGTCGTTGCATTGAGAAAAATAAAGAAAAACATTTTTAACATTCAAAGCGTCGCTCGAGTAATTTTTGATGCATAAGAATCCAATGGGCAACGGGACGTTCCCGAGTGCACAGAAATACGCCGGTGAGGTCGATCTGCAGATCAAAGATGATTAACCAAGAGTACATTTGTTTCAGAACTTCGGCCATTGTTTCACAAATTTAATTTCAGGTTTACGTCTCCTTCAATAAAGCAACGGTTTGAATTTGACAAATAAACATTCTTCATCGTGCAGCGAAGTGACTGCAGAAATAGCAATCATGGGCGCGGTCATACATGCAAAACCACCGATTGTCGTTCATGTCACCTGGACGTTGGTAAAACCGTCAACACGCCATCAGTGCACATCATAAACACTTTATAGATCAAAAAATGTGACAACTACCCTTGTATTTTGGGTATATACATGTTACTGTGATCGGGAAAACGGGAGGTCAAATGTTCTGGAAATTGCAGATTTTGTTCGAAAAAAACAAACAGGTGTCGCCAAATAAAAGAACTAAACGAGACGGCCATGGATGTTGCACAGACCTACTCGGTTTTGACCACACCATTATCTTAAGGGTTGGTTGTAAGATGGTGATGCATTCGCATGAGATAAAGTCCTTTCTTTCCAAGAAGAAGGTTTCTTTTCAAGCCAACCTAAATCTTGTTTTAGCCTGTCACTTAATAATGAGTTAGGGCGATACTGAAAGCGTATTGGCTGCTTTAATAAGATAATATACAGACTCTTCCAACAGCTAAACGCATCACACACTATTCTTGATGCAGCTGTTAGAGGTTAATGGTATATTTTCCAACAACGATCGTCTGGACTCGTTGGAAAAAGCATGAAATTTCTCTCTTCTCCAAAAGACAGCATTCTGAACGGGCATATTGCACAGATTGTAGTCGGCAGTCCCGTTTTTGAGATATACAGTCGAACCTCATTAATGAGAGCACAGTTAACACAAGATTCCGCTTTTAACAAGGATATTTTTAGGTCCTCGTCTTTTGTTGTCATTGCTGACAATACAAGGTTCCTGTTTTAACAAGGTTATTTGCGACGGATCTCTTTTTTTTGAGGTTCGAATGTGCCCCCGATTACTGTTGGAGCAGAGAGCACACTCTCTTGGTTGGAAGGGGAGTATCCCCCCCACCATGTGGTTATTTCAAGATGGCGCACAAAAAAGATTGAATTGTTCTGTCGATGTGATCCGAAGGTAATGCGTGCTGCTGCACAACACTTCCTTGCATATTAAGCACAGCAGCACACGCAAATATTGACTTTGGCGTGGTCTCTGGTATAAATCACCTCTAAAACGGGGTAAGTGTGGAAGCCAGAAACAGCCAGCAGAACATTTGTGCTTTTATCATCACCATGCCTTTACAAGATCGTAGAAGATGTCTCGCCCGTGTTTGATACTGATTCAAATAATTTGGAAGTACGGTTTTCTTGAAATGCCAAATTATCGAAAAGTGTGCCGTCAAATTTAAGTTGTTCAACACCTGTATAATAGATTTCAGAGACCGCAACACATATACCAGTGACCACTAATTGGGCCAAAACGCAGCAGATGTTGTACAAAAGCAAGGGTGCCCCTTTTTAGAAGGTAAGTTTTGAGTAAATTCCTGCTATTTTGAGAACTATAAGCACAACAGGAACGACAATGAGCTGTGGAAATTTCATGTCAATTGCAACACACACGACCGCCTCAAAATTAAAGAACCTCACTCTAAAAACTGTGGTGAGCAATTGAAAAAACCTTATTTGTCACTTGGTATAACCTAAATATTCGATTCCAATACAAAACACACTCAATAGCACAGATTGTTTAAAATTCTATGTATAAACAAGTCTTAAAATTACTAAACACAAGATTTGCTAGTACCGGCATATGTTTTACCCCGCAACCTTTAATGTTCCCCTTCGTTCCTCCCTGCCCTTCCCACTCGAAAGTTTGCAGTTGGAAACTCTCCATGCTGAAAATATGCCAGTTTCAAGAACCAAGACCAAACTCAGCAAAACGACTGGGCACAAACCACCCACAAATTACACCTGCCGCAAGAATATTAGAAAGAAGTCAGAAGTCTGCTAAAGGGTACCGTATCGGCCCCTTATGACGAAGGTTTGGGAATTGACCCATTTAAATTAAATTTGGACACTCTATACCACCGGGTACGCGATACGTCTCCCTTGTACACACAATATACCAACTTGCCAGCCTGGTAGATTATCAAAAGCACTGATGAATATAAAGTCTGCTGGGCAATGGAGTTAGACGACACTTTAAATTGGTATTTTGGAAGCACACGACGACGGTATGGAATCAGGTACGGAACACAATTATGCACTGACGTCATTTTATGCGCTTCCCTACATATGTGCCAACCATGAGTAGTTATTTTGTCTCAGACATTTAAATGGAAAGCATGATGTACGCGGAAGACAGCCTGACATTCATCCCACTTCCAAGTCGCCGAATTGAATGTCATGAATATCCCGAGTGTCTTCTTGGTAAATTATTCTGGCCTTCGTTCAAAATCATTGAGAAATGTGTCACGTGACAACCTAGAAGAGCTGACAGTATATGTTCTCAGTTCTCACACATTCCATGGCATACATTTCCTCGTGTAATGTCAAACGTCTGCCCAGGGTTGATGCCATCAACTTGATCTTTGACTGAAGGCGGATGTTTGTGTGGTTTTGCCAACGGAATGAACTGCGAGACCTTCTCTTAGAAACATGCCCCCCGGCAGGTTAAATGGTTTCATCGTCCTAACATGGGTATTGTTGCATCCGGCGCTCTATTTACATTCTACTTGCGACACCTCCGCGATATTTACCATCGTTAACATAATCGATCAGAGAGAGGCACAAATTCATGTTGACTGTTGGAGATGGCACATTCCGGTATTGATTGCTGTAGGCAATGTTTACTTTCCCTCTGGATTCAAACTGAAGAGAAACATTTTTGTTAAACATTTATAAGTGCATATACATGTACATGTACCATTTCTCTGCCCATCGTGGGAGTCAGTCAACTTCATGCTACGTGTTATTATCTCCTCTATAAAATATGTATACTATCCATGTTCGAACATGCAAGCGTTCCCTCGTAGTCGTGTTTGAGTAGAGGGTCCGTGTTGATACTGAGGAGGTGTGGCGGGGGTGTCTTACGGACGATACCATTTTTCATGATGGGGTGGCGCAGTAGTAACTGCAAAATTTAAACGGCACGCTCAAACGTACTAAAATCACAACTCCAAAAGTTAACGAGCAACTACAGATAAAATCTAAACCTGTCACGTTTGATAATGTTTGACACAAGGCTAACATTAAATCTCTTACTTTTTAAATACTTAATTTGCATTTTCAGAATGCTTACACTCAAAGGTGATACAAGTGTAATAAACGGTTACTATACGGCTAGAAGTGGCCAGTGAGCCTCATGCTGCACCAAGACAGGGCAAAATTTTAGGCTCTGTTGGTCGGAACTGAACTTCGCTACCAACAGAATGAACACTCCCGACCAATATGACTCTTTACAACCGATGAGGGGGTCCTTCTGCTCGAAGCGATTACTTTGCAGAAATTGATGGCGAGTGGTTTGGAAGGGTTGATTTTTGAACTGTTCTATTAAGGAGTACCTTTTATAACGACATCGGTACACCATAGGCCTATGTAATTGATGAAAATATTTTCCATTAAAAAAAATTACCGCTTTCTTTTCACTCCCAATGAAAAAAGTACACCGTGCAAGTATCTGGAACTTGTTTGTTATGTTATATATCGTTGTGAGACACACGAAAACAAGCTGAGCTGAATGTACCTGTACACCACGTTTCCTTTAATGTTGTGTCGATGAACTGTTTTAACTTTTATTAGAGTAGTTATGCCCGTTGCTAAGCATGCAGAGATGGATCAGCCAACTTCCTTTTTGAGATTAAACGCGAGTGGAATAAGCCACACACAATACCAGGAACACAAGTTTAGTTATACATCTTCTGTTGGATCAATCTGTGTTTCAAACTTTGGGCTTATACGCGAGCATAATTATGGTAGGGGCGGGTCAAAATACGGTCAAAACGAACGTCATAATAGACTAGTGCATAACTACCGTTGCCATGTCTTGTATAGCACAAAGAAAAGCTGGCTCGACTCCAATAGATATGTATGGCCTTTAGGAGAATCCTGAGAATTTTCATCTATCCGGAAACTTTAAAATCTTTTCTCTAACCCAGTACAAAACAACTTTTTATCGGTAAAAGCATAGGCCCTACTCTCCCTAACAGATCTCACTCTGTCAAAAAAAATACTTGTGTAGGTGTCACATTTTTAAAAACAAAAATTCGATTTTCTTGGAGATAGTTTTAAAAGTACCGCAGCAAAGGCGTACGACAGTTACAAAAAATCCATGAAGTGAACTTTTCGGTTTAGCCTTATACAAGGCTACTTAAATTCGAAAATGTTTAAAGAGAGATTTGCCACGATGATTGGCTTAATAGAGGTTAAGCCTTACTGGTGTTACACAGACTGTTCTTTATTTTAAAATCGTTACAATGAATGCACAAAACATTTACTCGAGCGCAGCCCATAGGAAGAAAGAAATCCCTCTAACATGACGTCATACGCATAAAGGGGTGTTTGTGGAACCAAAATGATGGATTAAGCGCCTGCACATGGACGATTAGCACACATAATGAACAGCCATTTCGGTTCCAAAGTGTGAAGTTGGCACTACCCTCCCTGTGCTTAAATTAAATTCAAAACCAAGCGCCCCTAACGTCAAGCATTGGCACTACCTGTCAGCCTTGCAATCACGAAGATCACACTGTATTAAATTGTGCATTTTACGTTTACCGTTTATTTCAATAGTCGCAAATCAGTGATTGTATGTATCTCTCGTACATTTGAATTTTTGATATTCTTGATTGATACTTTTGATTGCCAAAGGTTCACAACTGCAGATTAATGAGATCAGCGATATGAATAGTTTTCAGAGGCCTTTAAAGTACGTGAAAGAATCGAAACGTTGCATCTTCGGAAGTATTCTGCAGTTTTTGAATTATTAGTGTTTATACTGGACGAAAGTGGTACCTAGTCCTTGATAGACACTACAGTGGTTAGATTTACAACGACGAAGAGAGTTACAAACCCAAAATGTATATCCTACACTCTGGTCCACTGCACGTTGTTAATGAAATAAAGTATCTCGGTGTATTCTTAAATATCCGATTAACCTGGGAGTGGGAAAGCCACGTGAAACATCTAGGGCTAATAAGACGCTAGGTTTTATTTTAAGTGTGGCTAAAGGTCTCTCCACACATTCTCAGTTCTGTCTCTACAAATCGCTTGTTGTACCCATCTTAGAATATGGATTGATTGCTGATATTGAGCAGGTCAACAGACGAGCGACTGCGACTGTTCTCTGACGAAAACAATGGAGATACCCGTCCTCGATCGACTTAAACTATTGAACTGGTGTTCTCTACAGTCCCATCGGGCCTATCTGCTGGTCTGTTTTGTTGCTAAAACTTTGTATCGTGATGTTTCATGTAGTTCCGTGGTAGAACATCCGGCATACTGATGATTTAAAATTTTCTCAGTAGCTGGAAACAGTTGCTTAAATCATAATCCAATCTATGTATTCCCTCGTCTGTGGGAGAAATTCCCCCAAATCCTTCTAACTGCTTTATCGACGGGTTCTCTCTCGCAATTTTAAAGACAGCTTAAATTGTAGTGTAAACTAAATTAAAACTTAATTTAAAAAATCCCAGTTTGCTTTACGTTTAGTGTACGATACTTCTCCAACTAAGGATTATTTTGTGGTTTACTCTCCTTTTCCCTTTTAAATGTAATGTAATGTATCTGATGTTTTTTTTTAATTGATGAATTTCCTAATGTCTTTACTATAGTTGTTTGGGGCTATTTGCCTTTTGGCAATAGTGATTAGGTTCACTTTCTTAGCTCCTCTCATCTTGTCTTGAATTGTGTATTTTTGTTTGGTCTGATGTAATGATGACGAATAAAATAGTAAGAGTAATAGCTCTTCGCTCGCCATACAAATGAACATCCGAAGGAATTCTGAATGACCGAAGACGACAACAGTCTGTTAACAGAAGTTTAGAGTAAAAAAAGGACTAAAAAAAAAATTTAAAAATGAAAATAAAAAACAAACAAACATGACCTTCACACCAAGGACACACCGCTATAGCAAAGTTATGTGGCCAATCGTAGCCACGGGGTAGAAATATGCACGTTACAGGATGCAGGGACACGTTTCCGGTCGCCAAAAACATCCCCGGTGATCTGAGTTCCAATGCCCATGCATTAAGAGCTAAAGCCAGTTTTTTTTAGGGGAGGGCTGTTAACCATAAAGTAAGGGTACAACAGGCTGATGGATTTGATGCTGGGGTTTACTGTACTTCTGTTGGCCATCAAGAGCTGAACTGATAAAGTAAGCCTTTTATTTCCTGTCTGGAGAGATACAATATGCACTAAAGACTGCAGACAGAGGAAAGATTCACACTAAAGACTGCAGACAGAGGAAAGATTCACACGGTACATAACAATGCTGTCTACCGAAGACATTTTATTTCCAGTCACCCCTCTCTCGGACCTCGATTTTATTATTTTGAGTAACAGTGCCCGTGATGTTTTGAACCACGAGACTTGCCTCGGGCGCAGACGAAGCAGGTCAAAAGTTCCAGAGAAGTAACCTCAATCCTTGCAAGTCCCGCAGCGGGACTCAAAAACCCAACCACGTGGCGTTGGCAGAAGCTCAAGGATTTCTTGAGCCAATATTCGCGCAAAAATGCAATGTCTGCATCTTTTGCTCTGCAATACGCACGCCTTCGGTGTTACCACATTAATGGACTGTCACAGCGGGCCACGACATTTGCGCGAGTGCAACAAACTGCTTTTTCCCCCCACAAAAACACAAAAGTGAGGACTAAACTTTGTTCTACCGCAACACATTACGCATGCACATCATTACCATGAGAGAAATACCAATGTGTGTACAGTTCCTGTCAATTTCCTGCTGACGACGTAATCCATTTTTTTTTAATCAGAGATCGAATAAAGGAAATGTTTCGTTCCCAGTGTATCGCCTTGGAAGTACCTATGACCTTTATTTAAAACAGCAAAGTGCCTTTCTACACCCGAGAAGTATTGATGACTTCAACAATTACAATGTAAGACCATTCGAAACTAAGCGATTATTGACCTTTACTTAACACTAACAGTAAAGTTAATAACATGCATTTAGCAGTAGCTTTACTGTTTGTCACAGTGGCTATTATACGTTCTAAAAAAGGCAATCAGTCGTTTTCATATACCATAAACTACCCTGCGAAAAGGGTTTATATTAAAAACTTGATACATGTACATGTATTTTCAACAGTTCTGTAATTGCCTACTTTACTGCAAATACATTTGTACAGATGTATTTGTTTTTCCGTCTTACATGTCAAGCCTCATATCAATTGCACTTTTAAGGCGTGGTCAATAATGCAGTACTGATGCATATGCATTAATTGGGAAATCGCCTCGGAAGTTACATATGGAAAAGACAAACTGTACTAACAGGGCCCCTTTCTTTGGGCCGTAAGTTGACACGTAATGTTTGAAAGTCTTTGAAAGGCTTTCTCATTCAGTTTCGGACACAAACGGCGAAAATATTGGGGGGGTCAACAGGGCTCAGTCACGTATAAAGCAAACTTTACCATGTATGAAAAAGTTTATCTGCAAGGATGACTTGACTCTGGCCATCAATCATGCATGACTGGATTCAGATCGTAACAAACAAAATTTAATTAGGCGGCACGCACAACAAAAGACTCAGTGGGCCTAAGTCTGGCGCAGAGGAGAGTACTTTACCCTGATCAAATGAACGAATACAAGCACGGTGGTACACCATGGTAGCACTAGCAATTTCATCCCCCTCGAATCGATGGATACAAGTACGCCTACACTGCATATTTGGGAGTGAAAGGGGCGTCAGCAAATTAAGGGGGGGGGACATTAAAAAGTGGGATAATAAGGCGTACCCTGAGAATGTTTGGATTGTTTACCAACGTCACTCCGTCTAAGGATTGCTTTTCACACCTGTTTCTGGAGTGTAAGTTTTACTACACTTTACTGTAACAAGTTTGGCATGTTAAAGTACCGTAGTAGTATGGTACATGTATGCCATCCTCAATATCGATGCATTTTTCATGTAATGAAAGCCATAAAGGCAACAATTTTATTTTTTTGGGTTTGAAATTTATTCTAAAGGAGTAACGTTGGAAGACCGATTTTACTTTCGAATGGGAGTTGTGTCTCAGGGAGTTGGTAAACATGAAAACTGACGTTGGGCCCTAGAAAATGATGCTATTTAGGTTAAATTGTAAAAAAAAGTAAAGCAGTAAAAATCACAAGTCCTGTTCGACAGGTAAAAAAAATAGCACTAGCAAAGTAAGATTTTTTCATTTGGCTAAAGAATCTTCAAATCTGCAACACAAAAAAGGAACGACTTTAAATCTGAATCAATTATTTCCAAACATTAAAACAATGCTTCTAGCCTACCTGCTTGGATACAAACTCAAAAGTCCGAAGATAAAAATAAAATATGGGATCCATTATTTCTGTACAGGCCTACAGCGTTTATTCCAAAGGAATGTCTGTGCATGGAGCTTAGCCCAAGACCGCCACTTAAAGTGTAAATTGGACGATGCAAATGCGGTGGAGACATACCAAGCATGTCAAAACATGACGGGAGAATTGAAGACCATGAAGACGCCTGCCGAACCTCGCACAGCTACAGGCCAGCCTATACCTGTGCTTTTTTCCTACAATTTCGAGCCAAATCAAATAATAATGAATTGCCCTGGCAACTGGAGATAGGAAGGAAACAAAGGCCACGTGGTCAAGGAAATTCAAAATGATACTCACCACAACGAAAGGACTAGCGTACTAGTGTTTACGTTTTTTGCTGATGTTGTCTATTGAAAGCGTTGTGCAGGCCGGCACTCTCGAATTTTGCAGACCTTTTGTACGATGACCTGCCGAGTTTGAGTGATAAGAATGACAGGACAAGTCAGCCGACATCAAAATTGTGCAAACTGAACTAGTTGGGATTGAACAATTTGCCGGCGTTTGGTTGAAACGACAAGACCAACATATTTGAGTCTTGTAAACAATTTAATGCTGGTTGTATCCAGACTGGAGACACACAACCAAAACATAAATAGTGTGCACACCGTATTGTACATGCACATGCACATGGATATGGGACGTGTATAATATAAACACTGAGTCGCCACGTAGCGCTCATGTCGAACGTAATACGCATGCGCATATGCATTCATTCATGCTGTCGAGAAGGCGCGGTTTTGCAGCAGGTTGGCAGTGTGCCAGGCTTTGTGGCAACCCCCGAAGTAGACTGGTTCCCGTCCGTACATACTCTCTCTGGCCCAACAGTACATCGAACGCAGGATTTTCATGACCCGCTGATTCCTGGCATAATGAAAATCCTGCCGGATTTATACGAAGGAGGAAACCTGCTCACTGAACAAATAAAACAAGACTGCTGATAGAATATTTCAGTTTTTCTTCTTCGTTACTGAAAATAACGTCACCATAAATTATCTGTTTATCTAAAACAAATTATCCAAATAATCACTCATTTGAAATAAATTACCATAAAATAATTAATCAATGATATTCATTGGAAAAACAAATCACCACACACTATGTTCATCAAACAAAAGAAGCAAGGTGCAAAATAACAATAGACGCTCATTGTAAGTGCACTGTGTTTCTTTTGTTATAAGATGCTCGTAGTGACACTGCAACAGGATAAACAAGGATAGGTGCTTGTGTAGGCCTCACTGCTGGAATGGAATTCATGTTAAAGCATTGCTTTTGGCTTGACAAACATTAAAACATCGGCATTCAAATTAACAGAGTTAATTAATTGCATACGTTAAACTGCAGCAAGCTACCGGTCACTATTAACTCTAACGACTCCGGCCCCCTCTCTCAACTTAAGTGCCAATCTTTATGAGCAATCACCAGCCTAGGCTTTCACCCGGTGATATGGTCCTGATATGTGGGCGCTGGGGCTGTTGTTATCGAGTTGGTTGACAGGCACAAAATTAGGGGAATTCTCATAACAGAAAACAGGACTGTCATTAAATCTTGACTTGAGACTGAATGGGTTCCTCTCAACCAGGAAATAACACTTTCCGTGTGATTTATTGCCACTATCACTCAGAAAT